TTAGGGTTACGTTAAGCGTTAGGGTTAGGTTTAGGGTTACGTTAAGGTTTAGGGTTAGGTTAAGGGTTAGCGTTAGGTTTAGGGTTAGGTTTGGGGGGGTTAGGGTAAGGTTTTCACGTTAATTTTAACTTTACCGCTCACAGTGTGATGTTTTCGTCGCGCTGTGATGACGTCAGGTACGCGCTTTCGTCGAGCGCGCTTTAGTCTACCGCGGTTTTGTGGTGGAACCGCAAAAGTGACTTTGGGACACTGCAGCCGTCATAAAATGCATGCCAGTTGCCAAGCCTCTGAATTTTAATCATGTGACCATGGGGATGCTGCAACATTTGTAGGTATGAAAAACAGTCATAAGTCACTTTCTTCAGTGCCATTGTAACTTCAAATGGTCACTAAATGAATGGCTGTAAGTAGAGTACTATCCATGAGAAGAAAGTTTGTAAGCAGTCACATAATTAATATCTTGCCAGAAAACGTGAGAAAATCAGGATAGGTCATAAGCAGCCACATCCAAGTAGTCTTTGTTTTAAGACCATTAGGAAGCCAATGTCAGGGTTCTAAATATCGTATTTTTCAGAATATAAGACCTTTCCCCCCCCAAAAAGGGTGAACGTCTAGATGCATCTTATACACTGAATATAGCATTTCTGGCCTCTCGAAACCCCTCCCCCTTTACAAAAATGGACAAGCAGAGGGTTTGGGAGGCCTGCAGAGTGCAAAAACTTTTTTTAAATTTACCTTTTCAAAATCTTGGTGTGAGTTATACTCTGCTTCATCTTATACTCTAAAAAATATGGTAATAGATCCATTGCAAGCAAAAACTCCAAGGCAGGTGGATTTCTCAAAGAATAGCTTTATTGGAAATATCATGTTGATACCTATCTGGTGAAAAGCAACTCTGAGGAGCCCCTTGGTTTTCACCCAATTAAAAGTAAAAGTATTTCCCTCAACCTCAAACAATCAGTCACATGGCCCAGTCATTGCACCATCTGCTGGTCTGGTGACATAATTCCTCCTTTCTCTGGCCAGGTGGGAGAACGTCCTTGGTTCCCAAGAGGAAGTATTTTATTTTGACTACACAACCCCAGCTATCGCTATCTCCCCTCTCCCTGTACCTCAGTTCCAGTGAGGCAGCACTGAAGCTTCAAGATGGCTTCGGCCAGGTCAGCTTCAGGGCTGACAGACTATCTTTTTGCAGCGGCTGTTTAGCAAACTGGTGGTTTACTGTGGGTGCAGTTTTGCCAAAAACCAAACGATAATGTTGATTTTTTTTTGGGGGGGGGGGCAGAACTGTCGCAAAACATGGCCATGTGATTGCAGGATGCCTCAAACAGTAGTAAATGCAGAGCATCCAAAATGCAGTCACGACACAATGGGGGGGGAGGGGGGAGTGACTATCAGAATTTTGAATCCAGGTTGTAAGTACACCAAGGTAGGACCATCAGAACTTCAAAACTTGTCGAGGAGTATCGGTAATTTATTCATTGAATTTGTATGCTGCCCATCTCACTCTACAAAGCAGCTCTGGGCAGCTTACCAAAACAATGTGAGAATTTGCCAGGACATGTTGGCTGAATCAGGGCTGAGGAACTTGTGATCCAGAAGATAATGTTGCCCTCCAATGCCTAATGGCCTAAGTCAAGGGTCAGCAACCTGTGGCCGGTTTTCCAGTCAGCTCCACAATTGATAGAGCTTTCGGTTAGGACAGGTAGAGGAAAAAGGACACTGCGTTAGGAGGAGACTCTGTGGCGGGGAAACCAGACTTCTGGACGTCTCCAGAATTGAACATGGGGGCTTCCAGTTAGGACCTTTGTGGCTCTTGGCGTGTTTAAGGTTGCCGACCCCTGGCCTAAGTAATGGTGAGGAAACCTGGTAGTTTAGTAACACCTGGAAGCCCACAATTTTCCCTTGCTTGCTTTGGGTGAATGTTCTTCCCAAGCTATTTGGTGGGTTATTAATTCCACAGCTGCCCCTGTTCTTTCACAATGACCAAATGGCCCGGTTTAAATTTTTCAGTCCATTATTTTAATATTGGAATTTATTTGCCCAGGGTTTCATTCCGTGTTTCAACAGCTTCATATACTGGGTAGATATTTATGGAATTCAACTTTTAAAGAAATAGCAGTTGTTTGCCGTCAAATTATTTTACAGTTCACACCCCTCTTGCAAGGGTTATTTTTACAAGAATACTTGCACTGCAAAGTCTGTTTAGAGCAGCTTGCACGAGAAAGTCTTTTGTGTTGCTCTTTTCTTTGACAGTGAAACCAAGTAACCCTTTTTTCCTTCCCCCCTCCACATACCTTCAGCACTGATGCAGGAGACAGCCCTGTGGGAACCATGAGTGCTACAAACTTGGAGCAAACTCAGGTGATTCCATCCCAAGGAGATCTCTTGGGTGACCTCTTGAACCTTGACCTGGGGCCTCCGGTGAATGTTCCCCAAGTGTCTTCCATGCAGATGGGTGGTGTGGACCTTCTAGGAGGTGGACTTGATAGCCTGGTGAGTAAGCATGAAAAAATTCTTAGGGATGTGTGTGGGGGTCTGTGTGTGTGTTACCAAAAATCTAGACTGCTGGCAACCTTTCCCTTTATGTTAAAAGAATTTCTGGGATCTTGGATCCAAGTAACTACCACTTGGAGGAAGCAAAGATGTTTGTTTTCTTTCTGCACCTTTTCAGCTTTGCAGATCCTTTACTTGCTTATTTGGGGTATTGCTGGGTGGATTTGTTTGTTTATATCCGGTCTTTATTATCTTCACAAATACTCAGAGAAGATAAGGAAAAACTAAATGACATTGTGGAAAATGTTGGTAGTGGCTTTTTAAGAGGTTCGTGGTCTGATCCCTATAGAAACAAGCAGAAACAAGGAGCATGGCTGTGTCGTGTTTGTGTTTCTTGCTAGATGCTACAGAGAAAAGAGAAAAAAATGTGCTTGATTTTTAGCATCAGGTACATGTTTCATACAATATCTTGCATCACCCTTGGCAGCTTTGGTTCATTGTGTCACTTCCTTATAATAATGAATTGTAACAGAGGCTGTTATTTTGCAAAACAGCAGGGAAGAGAAGGCATGAGATCCATAAGAACAAAGCTAGGGCATAGTATAAACCCATTACAGAAAACCATATCATGAGTTGTTTAGTTTATGGGCGAACCAGTTTTAAAGAAGAGACCATAGTTTATGAACCAAAATTGATCAATTAGCCCGTAATGATAAGTTTGGAACAAAAATCTCACAGTCCTACCATAACTGCCTTTTCTTTTTGTAACATTACTCAGCCTTGCTTTTAGCAATATATGGTTTGTCCTTGATACTGGTATATTGGACAGTGATGGTTGGATGACACAAGAAATCATTACTGCAGAGGCAGACTCTGGATGTGACATACACATTATTGTTTTAGTAACCTTTGACCCTACATTAGCTTTTGCATATATTAGAATCTTCTATAAAATACTTTAATTATAATAACTGTGGTAAATAAATGGAGTTACCATGCTAATTCTGAAAAGTGACAATTTGTCAGTGCGGATGGATGGATGGATGGATGGATGGATGGATGGATGGATGGATGGATGGATGGATTAGATAAATAGATTAGATAGATGGATGGATGGATTAGATAAATAGATTGGATGGATGGATGGATGGATGGATGGATGGATGGATGGATGGATGGATTAGATAAATAGATTGATTGGATGGATGGATGGATGGATGGATGGATGGATGGATNCAAAAATAATAAGACCTCCCCGAAAATAAGGCCAAGCACTTACTTTGGGGATCAAAAGAAAATAAGACCCTGTCTTATTTTCGGGGAAACACAGCAGTATAAAATATACTTCTAAATATTGACATTCTGATAGCTTCTCACGGATAGCTCCTAAAATCACAATCCCAAGGGGGCATCTGTGCTTTCCTGTTATTGGGCATTCATATGATGAATGGTATGGTTTTAAAATTCCATCAAAGAGCACAAATCTCCAGAAATAAGCAACAACCAAAACAGAACATGGTGACCATTTTGCAATTAAGTTTACATGAGTTGGCATAGCTCGACTGATGAGTCAGTGTATACTCAGCGAACAAAATTTAACTTTGCGTTCCAGCAGCTTCCTTCCTTCCTTTGTTTGTTTAATAACTGTACCACTTCAGTCAAAGAAGACTTTGTGCCAGGGCCCCATCAAATTGGAAGTAGCCATTTACACTGTCCTTACAGCTGCTCCCAAAGAGTCTGTAAAGATTAACAGATTAACAGAATTGGAAGGGACCTTGAAGGTCATCTAATCCAACCCACCCACCCAAGCAGGAGACCCTACACTATTTCTGACAGATGGCAGTCCAGTCTCTTCTTGAAAACTTCCAGTGATGAAGCTCCCACAACTTCTGAAGCAACTTCTATTCCATTGGTTGCTTATTCTCACTGTCAGAAAATTTCTCCTTATTTCCAGGTTGAATTTCTGCTTGTTCAGTTTCCATCCATTATTCCTTGTCTGGCTTTCAGGTGCTTTGGAAAATAGCTTGACACCCCCCTCTCTCTGTGGCAGTCCCTCAAATATTGGAAAACTGCTATCATGTCTCCCCTGGTCCTTCTCTTCACTAGACTAGCCATGCCCAATTTGTGCAACCTTTCATTGTATGTTTTAGCCCCCAGTCCCCTAAACATCTTGGTTACTCTTCTTTACAATCTTTCTAGAGTCTCAACATCTTTTTTATACTGTGATGACTAAAACTGGATGCAGTATTCTAGGTGTGGTCTTACTAAGGCTTTATANAAATCCTTCCATTCCCCACCATCCAGTCAGAGCTGAAGAAGCTTCTTGGATGAGAAGCAAAGCATCTTCAAAGAAAAACCAGGAAGTCCAGTTGCCTCTTGAAAAAGCACCTTTGGGACAACAATGGCCTGGATGACTGAGAACTTCCATAGACAGTGTTTTAATACTTTAGTCTGTTCACTTAAAAAGAAATTTTCTGTAAAAATTGCTTGCAGGTAGGATGGATACAGTCTACTGTTCTGCAGGTGCTGTGGCATTCACAGGTGCCACATTATCGATTCCTGCCCATGCCTGCAGCCAATTGAGTCCTGTTCAAAGGAAATATATTGTGTCACCATGATGTATCAGAATGGTCCTTGTTTGCTTGTATTTCAAAGGACAGCCGAGGCTCTGTTAAAATATATGCAGTCTTTTGATTCCTTATCTTTTTGTTTTCTGAAGGCACCGTCTCTGAAAAAGAACAGCCAACTACAGTAAATTGTCCCATTTTTCTGCCTTCGGCCTATTTTCCATTTTGTAGCTTTAAGCATAAAAAAAAATCACAAATAGCTGATGTTAGGCTAGAAAATTGCTCTGTCATAACCCTGCAAGAGCGTAGCCGAACTCCATACGCCAAATAACTAATTTAACCAATCTTTGGGACTTTTAATAATCTTCTAAATCAGTGTTTCTTAACCCTGGCCACTGACATCTTAAAGAAATCACCAGTTGTTTATTTAAAAGCAATGCAGAAATTGCTTATTCCCTAAAATATGAAAAGGCTGCCTCCTTGATTTTGTTATAAAAATTACACACTCAAAATGGAACAATCTGATGCACTCTCAGCTTTTTTACTGTTTAGCATCAAACGGATACATTGTGATTTGTAAGATTGCTTTTCACATCCCAGCAGTTTTCATTTCTACTTGGTTACATTCCCCCCACCCTCTCCTTTAGAAGGAAAAAGGTGTTAATGTTTTATCCTTTGGGGAAAAAAAGATAGAAAGTGTATTAGGGTGGGTGGGTGTAACTTTCAGCCAAGCATCTATGAGCGAAGCTAAATGCATGTTCCATATCTGAGTGCTTGGGTTTGTTCTGTTGGGTAATTGTTCAGCAAGCTGCCAGAAATAGAAATATCACATGACACCCATTCAAGCAACCTCCACTTTAGGGTGACAACACTGCGCATATATGTCAGTTTATTTTTGGCCCTGCTTTTTGCTTTTTGTGGACTCTTTGCTCTCAGAACATCAATGGGCTGCTGACGTTGGAGCCCAGGAATATTGGTGGGCAGGCAGGGAATGGCAAGAGGCTGCTGCTGAAACTGACCCACACAGGAATGGTAGTTAGTGTTCTGATCTAGGCTTCCCAAGAGCATGAAGCAAACTCCTTGTCCCGACAAAAACCCCTTTTATTAATTTACTGTGAATTCTGCTCATTCACATCCAGCAAAGTCNAGAATTGGACAAGCAACCTAATGGCTTTCCATTCCCAACCCTCCTCTTCATTTCAACAAATGATAATCAACCCCCTTCTACCACCGCTAGGCAACCACAGCTAGTTTATGCATCTCCAAACTTTTTTTTTTTTTTTTTTTTTTTGCAAAGACCTAGGAATTTATTTGAATGTTTAGCACAATATGATATTTCCAACCAGCTGATATTTATTACCTAGTTTTATGATCTGGATCTTCCTGCAGAGGTGTAGCAGTTCACATTGATGCTTGAACCCCCATCTTTAGCAAGCAAGCTTCAATCTGGTGTCCACTGCATATGTCTAGAATTGCTTGTGCGCTGTCCAGATGCTGTCTCGCACACTGCAGCAAGACATTTCTGGGTAACCTTTAGCTCTCTGATAAAATCCAACTGTTTCTTAGAAGATAAATTAAGGCTTCTCAAACAGCTTCCAACTGCTTGTGCCTCACCCCCGCTCCCACTCCGTCCTTTTGTGATTCTTAAGACTTTGAACACAGGGGTATCTGAGTTTTGGCTTCTCAGTGACAGGACTTACATGCTCCACATATTATTGCAAAATGTTGACAACACCATAGCAAAGACTGGCTCACTTTGATGTGGGTTTTCAGTGGAAACCAGATCCATAAGGTTTTAGCAGATTTCCGGAATTAAGCCTTATAACATGGCGGGGGGGGGGGGGGGGATATGTTCTTGTCAAATGAACTCTCAGAGTAGCAGATCCTCAACCTCAGCGGTTCTTGAGGTGGCAGCCGAATCAAAAAATGTCAAGTAAAAGAGCAAAGAAGAGGAATGCTAGGGAGAATTTGCAAGTTTGATATTTGTCAAGGTATCTGCAGTCTTCCTGGTGTCCTATCTAGAAGCTGCCACCACATCCACTGTGAGAATTTTTGAGGCCTGTGTTCTTTCATCGCTGACGAAAATTAAACATTGCATGCGGTCTCAAATACCCCAGAAAGCAAATTTAAAGTTCCTCTATAATTTGCCTATATGTACCGGAACAAGCATTTCTATTCCAGCCTGAGTTCTTGAGGTGGTAGCTTTCATATTTGGGCTATAATTGGTTTTCTTCAGGAGAAAGACCCAGTCAGACAGGTTTCTACTTGCAGTTTGAAGTGGATAAAATTTTAATCAAAGCTGGCCAGCATGTCTGGCTTTTGTGAGAAGGAGGTGTTCTCGGCAACTGGAAGTAGCTTAAGGGCAGTTTAAGCTGAAAAGAATCTGAATACTCTACAGAAGAAGCTTAGTCTTAGAGTCAAAAGTAGAATTTG